TTTATTATCAAATGGGTAACTCATGCAAAACTAAATGCACTCAGATTTAAAAATAGGATTTGAGGGTTACAAAACATTCTCTGCTATGGTTAAAGAAATACAGCACACAAATGCCTGTGGCAAGCTGTTCTTTGAAATTATCCTCACTAAATTACAATCATGCACTTTCAACTCTCTGTAATTAAACATTTAGTTTTATTTTTTCCAGATGTATTTGCTTCAAATAAATCCAGACCTTTTGTTGTAGTAGTAGATCTTTTACAGGTCTCAAGGACTTACAAATTGACAGAAAATAAAGTGAATTGTTTCCTTTGGTTTAGTTTGTAGTATGTCCACTGACGACTGCTCTTTATGCTGTTTTGGAAAAGGATATGCATCATGATTCTTTCAGGGCATTTTAGAAACTACTGGTTTCTTTTAAGGCAGCCTAATGAATCTGAAAGAGAAGTACAGTCAAACCATGTTATTGAAAATGATTCATATTTTAATTCCTGGTTTTGAGGAAACATTTACATGCATTGAAAATTATTCCTTTTAAAAAATCTGGATGAAACCCAGAAAACAGTTTCCCAAAATTCACCATAAAAAGGATTGGGTTAAAGTCTTATGTAAATATATTTGAAGTTATGACATACTGCTATCTAAACTAGACTGTTTTGAGATCTATGTAAGTACTAGGATTGTATTTACAGTAAGTCTGGACGGTTGATTATATTTTTAAACACACCAGTGACTACCACTGAGCAACTTATGTCTGTACCTTCAATTAAAAATGATCCTATTATTAGGTTTTAGATGGTCCTATTGACATGATAGAGATATATAAAATCATGCATAACATAGATAATATAGACATATTTTTGTTTCTTTCTCACATTGTAAGAATTCAAGGTCTCCCATTGAAACTATTTGCAAGGAGATACTAGACTGAGAGAAGGAAATACTATTTTTGCAAAGCTGACTGTAAAATTAGCTACCTGCAGATGTGTTAATGGAAGCCAGTTTGGATAGTTTTAAAAGGGGACTGGGCAGTTTTGCAGAAAATCAACCTATTGTAGGTTATGGATATCAAGAGTTATTTACTACTTACTGAATAATGGTTAATATGCCTTAAATAATGGTTCCTGGAAGCGACTTCCATTGTACCGAACTGATAGTTGCATTAAAATATTTATAAATGCTGAAATTGTTTCTAACTACTATTTTTACGTCAATTATTTCCCCCTTAAAAACAATACTGTATGAACTTGCCTTGCTGTGTGTTGTCTATATATACAGTAGGAGAGCCATTCTTGCTTAAATTTAGTCAAATTTCCATTCTGGATATATACTGTTAATTTTGCAATTGCTCTATATTCCCCAAGTTTGGTTTCCTAGTCTGATGGTGTCAGTAAAATGTCTCTTTGCCAATGTTGAACAAAATTTGTCCTCCCAGCTGTCAGCATATATCTTATTAAATTGTGATTTTTAAAAAATTTGTTCTGGAGCAATTCCTACTAGAAAAAACAGGTTTCAATTCAAACTTGTTTTTAAATTTTTTTAAATAATGCTGTGTACTAAGAAACTTAATCTGCGTACTGTGTACTAAGAAACTTAATCTCCTAACACAAATAATGTGTTAGGAGTCAGAATATACAACTACTAAGATATCTTATGAATTCATTTAAAGGGCATTATTATTAGGAAAAAAAATCAGACAATCAGCAGTAATTGTAAGGATTATCTCAAGGATGAAAAAAGGAAGAAGGAAGATGGAAGAAAGTTATCAAGGAAGAAAGTTATCTTCTTTTAGTCAGCCCTATGAGTTGTAATATAAATTTCTAATTAGCTTGTTTGATCAGGATACTGTGTGTTCTGTTTTGTGGTCACTTGTGTCCATTTTCTCTCCACCTTTCTTGATGTTTTTGAACTTAAATTAAAGAATACAACATAATAATCATCCATACATGCATACCCATCATGCTTTCCCTTTTGGGGTAAGCAAGATTATGTGGAATACAGAAAAAAGTAAGAAATAGTAAGCAAGATTATTTAAAGGGCAAAGATAAAAGAAAAGGATAAATATAGTTTATACCAACATTAACTATACCTTTCAATACCTTTCCGTTCTTGCACATCATCTTTGTTTCCACCATAAACATACATTGATCTATTCATTGCCTTCTGTTCTTTAAACTTCTAAACTCTGTGTCTTTCTCCAACTTTGCTTTCCTCTCAACCTATTTACTCTTCCTTCATATACTTGTTCTGCAGGGTTTTGTTTTGTTTTTTTAAATATGGCGTCTATATTTGCAATTCCATAGCTGGGTAGAAAGTAAGTTTAAAATGCAAGTTCAAAAATAGCGTCATTATTCACAGAAGCACTGTTGTGTATGGGTGCTGTGAAAAACAGTACTGAAAACAAAAAAGCAACTATGGATTTCTGTCTGTTAAACTCTTTCTATGTGTGAGGTGAAAGGAGAAGGTGAAGAAAATTCTGAAAAATAGTTTCACTTTCATAATTACACTTGCTATTAAGAATTTTAATGTTGCTGTATCAGGCTACATATAACCTGGTAGTTTAGGGAAAGCTGAATCATTAAAAATCATAAAAGTATTTTGGAGAAAAAAATAGAATACAGACGGAAAAACAGCATCAAGAGAACAGCTTAGGTAATTAGTGTGACCAAAACCACATTTCACAATATTGCGATAAAATGCTAATGTAGATGAAACACATAATTCACTATGCCACCTTCTAATTGGTTGTGGTTCTACTCATTTGATCAACAATCTATGGACAGTTGCTTTCTAGAAGATCAAATGATTAAGAGTTGCTGATTAAGAAATCCAGTGTCCTGAGTTGATCTCAAATTAATACATTTTGTTGAAAGGCCAGCACATAATTTATAAAGTCTTTCTTTCAGCTGGAAGTCCTCCAAAATGTTAAAAATTGAAAATTAAAAAATTAAATTTGTAGCAGCAAGTAAAATTAAGAAAAATAATCCCTATAAAAGTATTATTGTAAGAGCTTGTCCTCAGACTGATTGAGATTCAAAGGATGTTTACGTAAATAACCAGTTTCAAATTTCATTTATCAGTGAAGAGATCTGCTTCCTTGGTTATTTATTTATTATTAAATTTGTATGCCACACGACTCACAACAACTCATCGGAAGACTATTAGAGAATGAAAAAGTCTCTGCCACAAGGATATGCTGGTTGTAAATTGTAAATATTTTAATTTCTAGAATTCCTTAACCCTATTCCATTTGCTTCATTAAATCTTGCTAAAGAAACTCTGTGAGAAGCATGCTTGGAAAAGAATAGCTTTCAGTTTAGGCAGCATCCAGAGAGCCTGATAATTATGAATATTACAGTATTTCTGATAAATAATGGAACTAGGTGGAACTAGGTGGAAAGGAATTCTACAGACTAAAAGCCATCATTGACTAAACTCATTTCAGATAATGTTGAATTAGGGCCCAGAGACATCTTCAAAGTTCTGAATGTGTGGTTGGAGTCATATAAAAGCAAGAGATTCTTTAAATATTCTGGATCATAGTCAGAATATTTACATAGGGTTAGTTTTACATAAGGTTTTAAATATGGTAGGCAGCACTTTTATAGGTATAGAAAACTTCTGATTAGACATGCATAAGATTGTGCTGTAGAAGTATTCCTAACAGAATATACTAAATACATGTATATGCTGTCTGTGCAATTATATTTAATACACGTCAGTCTTGCCTGTATTCCATCATGGGACTCAGTGCTGTACATGAAATTTTCAGTCTCCTATTTAGAGCACCTTGCTTAGCTCATGCAAATTAGCACCATTATTTGTATTCAGTGCATAGAAAAAATAATATGCATATTATCTAATAAATATCAAGTACATATAAATATAAATTCATACTAGAAACAATGGCAAAGAATATCTCGTGTGTCACATTCAGTGCTGAGGTTGGAAAAAAAACAGAAGCAGCAGGTACTCTGTAAAACGAGTATTCATATAGTAAAACATAGGAAGAATTATTTGATATAAATTAAATTTCACTACTTCTTATAGTCTTAGGTATTATATTAGTATGTGATTTGATTGATCTAGTGGAATACAAGTAGAATAAACAAAATTATTCAGTGACTGAACAAAAGAGAAACAAGCAAGAACCAGATTTTTTAATGAGAATATGCTGTAGGATATCAGAGTATAGTAAACTAGAGTATCTACATTTTATGAGTTCACTTCATATGTTGTTCCCCATAGCCTTTAATCACATGCCTATTGGATAGCTATCTTTTAATCTTTTACAATATGCGTATTGGTTTTGAAGTGTTTGTTTCCTCTTCTGATCCATTTTTTTAAATTATGTTTGTTAGAAATTCAGGATACTGCAGAAGATAATAGGAATATGTGGTCTATATGACTATTCATCTGAAAGAGAAACTTCCAAAACCAATTTTTGTTAGGTACTAGAGTTAGGAAAACCACTAGCAGGGAAAGATTGTAAATCAGATCTTGAGTTCAATGAGACCTTCAGACCTTATTGTCAGGTCTGAAGCCTTAAAGATATGAATTGTTTGCATTGCAGAACAAAAGAAAAGTTGGTTCCAACCAATTATTCTTCTGCCTTGATATGTGTCTTAAAAAAAAAAAAAGTATTTGTCTTAAGACATTATGGAATCTGAAAGGAAGGAGATTAAAAAAAATTAAAGTCTTTTCCTGCATTCTCCCCGTACTCTCCCTTCCTCCCCTGAAAAGCCTCTCTATTTATTAAAGTTCCTCTACTCAGTGCTTCTTATACGCAGAGCAGCCAACTCAAAAGGTTCCAGTTTGAGATTATGGAAAGATGTAGGGATAAGGAAATTGGTGGAGATTGGCTGTTGGGATAAGTCAGGAAAATCAATGTATGCCTACCTCTTCAAATAGTTTTTCTCTGGAGTTAATATCCCTAATACATGGATAGTAATTGCTATGCTTACAATATGATTTACAGTGCATCATTTTTATTTCTCTAGGATGCTCTTGATGAGCTGCTCCATATCCTACCTCCTCCTCCTGCTACCATTTAGCTCCTGGATGCAGAAACTACCTACTAGAGATGAAGAACTTTTTCAGATGCAGATCCAGGACAAAACCTTTTTTCATGATTCTTCAGTACTCCCTGATGGAGCAGAGATCAGTAGCTATCTCTTCAGAGGAACACCCAAAAGGTATCTTCATTCATGCAAAGTGAAGTTAAGGAGATATATAACTTGTCTTGACTCTTTCCTTCAAGTCAGTCTTGATTCCTGGCAACGACATGGACAAGTCCATGCAATTTTCATGGCAACATTTTTTTCCCAGAAATTGTTTGCCATTGCCTTCTTCTTAGGGCTGAGAGAGAGTGACTGGTTCAAAGTCACCTGGTGACAGCCTTGTGAGGTAGACCAGACAGGAAACACAGCCAGATGAGCTAATTCTCCTTTATTATAAGGTTTTATATTAATAATCTTGCAAGTCTGAAAGTACATTTTCTTCCCCGTCCCCTTTACAGCCAAAGAAATAGGGAGGGTCTCTTCTTGCCCTGTCCACATTCATGCTGAAGGCCAAGTTGCCTTTTATCTGACTATTCCCTTGGCTGCATCTCTTTGTCCTGTCACCCAAGATCATTCCCACATACCATTACACCCAGATACCATTGTATCTAAGGCAGGATTAGTCACAGTCTCCTGATTTCTAGTCTTTAACTGCTGTTATATATGACTGTTCAGTGGCAGCTTATTCCAATGTAGCAGATTGAAGCCATAATTAAATCTGGGTTCAGATTTATGGGGTCAGAAATGTTATAAAATTGAAACCATATATAAATCAATAAGTTTCAAAACAAAAGGTCCAAGAAACCGTACAGTGTTTGAAAACTAGAATCAAATTCTGATCTGGGGTAAAAAAAAAACCACCCTTCTTGTCCCCTCTCCTTGTAATAAGCGTGAAGGTTCTATTAAAATTTAAGGATTTTGTGCAAATATTTTGACGATTAGACAAAAAAGATCAACGTATTTCTTTAGAAAAGGTTAAATCATTAAAACAAAATTCTTTCAGTTGAACTTTGTTGAAATAATGCTGCACATTCAGACTTTCACGTTGTCCAGGAAAGGCAGTATTTGGAAAAAATTTAAAAAAGAATAAGAAGGAAGATTTGCGTGGAATCTTTTGACAGCTTGGTCCCATAGATAAAACCTAAAGCAAAGAAACAAAGTAGAATTAAGATACATCACCCTCAAATTTAAAAACAACTACACAGTTTAAAGTATGTTATTTTAAAACAACTCCCCATCTTAAGAATGAGAAAGTGAGAAACAAGATTACAAGGAATGATTGTTGTCAGACTATTGTGAAGAAAAGAAAGGATGCTGTATCTACAGATTTCCTCATAGTGCTTACTACATCTGGGCAAATATCTTACATCCCCAACTTTGTGAGTGTATGTGTGAAGCTATGTGTTTCTTTTATTCTCTCATTCCCTCCACCTCACCCCATGCTAAATCCCCTTCTCCCAAGGCTTGTTTTTCTTGATGCCTTCAGCAATAGTGTTCTGGAAACATTTTTGAGAATGATGCTGTAGGATAATTTCATTCCCATGAGTATTCTTGGGGGTGGAAGAGTGTTGAAAATCCTGTTGCTTCAATGTAAATAAAAGCTTTTTGGTCATCTTATCTTTAAATGAAAAACCTTTACTCCCTAAAAAGCTTCACTTTTCATGGTTGCTTGCTCTTCACCTCCAAACTTTATTAATATTTCTGGGCTGGATCTTCATTCCAGCATTAATATTTGCCTTTCTCATTCACCCAACAATAACATTGACACATACCTTTACTGTAAAGAAAGTGCAGATGTTCAACAAGATCTGTATTTAAATATATTTGCAACAGTATGATTTATTGCTTAACCAAGTACATTAATTTAACCACTATAAATTAAATGGGTAATGAGAAGATCACAGAGTTCTGATAACATAAAATATGAAAATCACTGCTTTTACAAATTTTAAGACATAAAAAATAAAGTTTTTTTGTATACCACAAAAAAAAAAAAATCATATGACAGATCATTCTGTAGCATAAGAAAATAATTCTATATTATTAAAAAAAGATCTATGAATATAATTATTCATGTGAATGGGTAACAAAGGGAAAGGTTTCCTAGAAAACAGATGAAATGGGATATATATTACATTTAATGTTAAAAATAGCATATTATTAAATTTGCTTTTATTGCTGTCATGCTAGTGTGTGTGTGTGTGTGTGTAAATATGTATCTCCTTTGAAAAGTTAATTTAATTAGCCTCATGCTATATTGTGAAGAAAATCATGTTTTTATTAATCTTTCCATAGGTTTTTTTTCGTGGTAGAGGAAGATAATACACCGTTAGCAGTTACAGTAACTCCTTGTGATGCACCTTTGGAGTGGAAGCTGAGTTTGCAAGACCTCCCTGAAGAATCGAGTGGAGAAGGCTCAGGTAAATTACAGCAAAGATCAAACAAAGGGTATTAGTTTTTTAAAGATATGAATAAGTTGGAGTTGCAACAGCCTTGGCCACCAGAATATCCTTCAAAACTCATGACTCATGAACTATTAAGAGCTGTCTTAATAGAATGATGAGGTCCAAATTCCAACTAGTGAGAGAACAACTCTCACTAAGGTTTTTGAAAGAAAAGACAGGAGGAACACTGGGATTTATGTCAGGGAATGACATAAGGGAAGAGGAGACAAGGAATTCTATTCATTAAGAGGAAAATACATCAGCTCTTTCAAGTAGGAATCAAGATTCCATGTTTCATATATGCTTCCTTACTCTGTTATGTTCTAATACATTCGAAAACCATATATACAACCTTCTGTTACTGAAGGATGACAAATTTTAAACTAATCATATGTTAAAAGCTGCAGGTGATAATAATGTTTTAAAGTAAAATGCTTCTTTTCATAGTTGCAACAGCTTCAACATATCATGGAAACTCCTATGAAAAAGGCATGACATACTTGTGAACTGGGCTTATGATACTAATAATGCATTAACTTTGTGCTTATTTAAAAATTCACTGATTTCTGTCTGTATATATGAAATTCATTAAGAGGGCAGAGTTTCAGTATCAAAGGTTTCAGTATTTGAAGGCTACAGAGAATTTTTGATAACAGAAATTTTAGATAACTATGTTATCTAAACTACAGAATGTCAACAATTTTAATTAATACTGTACAAATATCATTTATTGAAACAATATAATGTATCAAGATTTATAAGAATACAATAAAAAGGGGAAAAAAGAAGTTCTGATAAGACCTTCTTATAATCTTATAATCTTAAATGATTCTTTGATTTTGGATGAATGCTATTATCCTTGAAGTGCTAATTTAAGATCATGTAGTGTTGGTGCCCTGGGGAATTAATCAGATATTAATAGAAGATAATATATGTAGCTCATATATGGAGTCCTTGGGGTTCTCTGAGCTTGGTTGTTTTCTTGAAAACATTTCGTTACCCAACTAGGTAACATCTTCAGTGCTAGAATGGAATGGGGTTTGCTCTAAACAGACTCCCCACTCCATTCTAGCACTGAAGATGTTACTTAGCTGGGTAACGAAACATTTGCAAGAAAACAACCAAGCTCAGATAATCAGATATTGTTGATTTTCTGATGACAATTGGTGTTTTAGGAGATATAAGATTCTCCTTCTAGTCTGCCATTTGGTCAAATAAAATAGTTTTCACGTGATTTTTCAGATCATTTCCAGGGCAAACTTTCCTTTCTTACTAGTCTTATCCAGTCTAGTTACTGGATTTATGTTAGTCATTATTAGTGTTCCTTATATTTCTTGGTGTAGGCAGCTGGAGGATTTATCTTCCTTCAAAACAATGCTTTTTTGTGATGCTCCTGATTATTGTGTGCATGTTCCCTATTCTGACTTGAAAATGGGTCAAAATGGGAACCTTTGATGAGATCCATTTCAGGATAAGAGTTCCATTCCCCAAGAATTGGGAATAAAGGATTGAAGACATGGTTGTGAGAGCACAGATTGCAAGGGAGGGGGAGGTGTTGCCATACTGCACTGTGGTTTGTCTATAACCCTAACTAGTAATTTATTCCAAATGAAATTAATTTCAATATAACACAGATAAATGGTACCCTCATAATCAGGGCCATTTGTGAAACAGTGACCTCGGGCTGAATTTTCATGGTAACTTGAAAGGCTACATTTTGCATGAGCTGTATTGATTTTAATGGCCCCATTTACCTGTGTTCAAACCTATGTTTGAAACAAATTAAATGCATTATTATACATCTTTTTATGATGATGATGATGATGATGGTTGGTCGCACAGTTATTATTCTTATCAGTAGTAGTTGTAGTAGTGGTAGTAGCAGCATATTTTTAATTTAGAGAATGGAAAACATTTGTGAGACTTTCTTTCTCAAGTCTAAAAATAACTGCATAAAATTCTGCTTGACTTTGGACTGTTGGCACAATTTGTTGTTCCTTCTAATGTCTTTGTTCTGAATACTGTAATAGGATTCCAATATTATTTATACAATAACTGAATGCTTTGAAAACATGTCCATATGTCATTTTATAATTGTGTCCACAAAAGTTGATTTTAGCAGTTTAGTTTATACATACATATAAACACATCCTTTTCCAAAATCTCTTTTTGTAGTTAATTGTTTTATTGTATTATAAGATGCAAATAATACATTATAGAATACAGATATTAGTGGGTAGAACAGTGTACAATATAAACTAGAAATTGCTAGCTTTATAATAATTTAGATTACTTAAACTTTTTTAAGGAGAAAAGGTTTATATCAATGTTAACTATAATTCCAAGATGTTAATAAACATTAAGTTGTTTGACTTGTGCAATTCAGATAAGGAATTGATAGACTATTGTGAAATGTACTAATTATTTTGTAATAATAAGGATTCTATCTTGAGCTTGATACTTAATACTGAGGTCTCCGCTATATTATTCTTTATTGTTGTTTATACATATTGAAAGGAGAAAAAAAGAAAACCAGAACAAAGAGAGAAAAAATAAAAAAATAAAAAAGCTGCTTGGAAAAACAGATAACTTCCCCCATCTTTATACTCCAACTGACTTGCAGTATTTATAAGCATTTTGACCCCTTAGAAACCATATTGTGTTTGTGTTTGCTTTGCTTCAAAATCCCTCCTTTTTGTTTATCTCTTCTAGGTGAACCAGAGCCACTCGAACAGCAGAAACAGCAGATTATTAGTGAAGAAGGCACAGAGCTGTTTTCATATAGAGGAAATGATGTTGAGTATTTTGTATCCTCTACTTCACCTTCTGGGTTATACCAGTTAGAACTCTGGTCAACAGAAAAGGATACAAACTTTAAAGTCTATGCTAGTACAACTCCAGAGTCAGATCAGCCATATCCTGAACTACCTTATGATCCAAGGGTTGATGTCACTTCTCTTAGCCGTACAACTGTCAGTTTGGCATGGAAACCTAGCCCTACAGCTTCAGTATTGAAACAGCCAATACAGTATTGTGTGGTCATTAATAAAGAACACAATTTCAAAAGCCTCTGTGCTGTTGAGACTAAACAGAGTGCTGATGATACATTTATGAGGGCTCCTAAACCTGGTATGGATTTTAGCCCCTTTGATTTTGCCCATTTTGGATTTTCTTCCAACAGTAATTCTGGGAAAGAACGCAGTTTCTTAAAACCAACATCAAAGCTTTATTCAAAGCTTTATTCAAAGCCTAAGACTGACCTTGAAAAGATATGTATTGGAAACAAGAACATATTTACTGTATCTGAACTGAAACCTGGTACGCAGTACTATTTTGACATATTTGCTGTAAATGTGAACACAAATATGAGTACTGCCTATGTTGGTACTTTTGCAAGAACTAAAGAAGAGGCCAAACAGAAGACAGTTGATTTAAAAGATGGGAAGGTTACAGATGTGTTTGTCAAGAGAAAAGGCTCCAAATTTTTGCGGTTTGCTCCTGTTTCATCACATCAGAAAGTTACATTTTTTGTTCACTCATGTCTCAATGCCATACAAATCCAAGTCAAAAGAGATGGAAAACTTCTATTGTCTCAAAATGTTGAAGGTGTTCATCAGTTTCAACTTAGGGGAAAGCCAAAAGCTAAATACCTCATTCGACTGAAAGGAAATAAGAAAGGGGCTTCTGTATTGAAGTTTTTGGCTACAACAAGGCCTAATAAGCAGTCATTTCCATCTCTTCCTGAAGATACAAGAATTAAAGCCTTTGATAAACTTCGCACATGCTCCTCAGTCACAGTGGCATGGCTAGGTACTCAAGAAAGAAACAAGTTTTGCATCTACAAGAAAGAAGTAGGTGATGATTATAATGAGGAGAAAAAGAAAAGAGAACAAAATCAGTGTCTGGGACCAGACTTGAGGAAAAAATCAGAAAAAGTCCTCTGTAAGTATTTTCACAGTCAAAACCTACAAAAAGCAGTTACCACAGAGACAATTAAAGGTTTAAAGCCTGGCAAGTCCTACCTTCTAGATGTTTATGTCATAGGACATGGAGGGTACTCTGTCAAATATCAAAGCAAATTGGTGAAAACAAGAAAATTCTGTTAGGGATCTTTTACATAAAAATCAGAATGTTACTAGATGGACTAACTACTTATACAGAATAAAAGTTGTGAACTGTATTGGTACTATGTATAGAAGATATTAACATCTATATTTATGTTTACAGAAGTAATTAAAAAGACTGAGACTAGTGCTCTTCGTTGGTATCTGACGGTTGCATTATCGTGCATCTGGTGGTCTATGTTTGATGATCAGTAGATAACCAAGATAGCAGGGAATATAAAAGAACCTGCCCTTTTTTGCTTCCATATTGCATGAAGTGCTTCTAAATTATTTTATTGTATCAAAGGCTAAAACAAATCATTCAATGCTGTATTAGTCATATGCAAAGGCAAGAAACAAAACTTCCACCCAATCTCTTTTCATAGACTAAGGTTTATGTAAATTATTTTTACAGTCTTGTTTAATATGTCTATGTTTCCACGTTGTAAACTATGAAAAATCTTTTCCTGTTAAAAGCATAGATCTAAATTAAGTATTAACTGGACTCTCCAGTTTTATTGTTAATATAAGATCCTATCTGGTTAATTTTAAGTGCTTAAAAAGTTTATGTATTTCATGTACAAAATTGTCGTCATTATATTCCTGTATATAAAATTAAATATTAGATTATACATTCCTATTCATCTTGATGTTTCATATATCTACATAGATATATACATATACATAAATTTGTATAATTGTGAATGCATTTTGAGCATCTTTAATTAGTAAGCATTTTATATCTGAACATCATTAATTGTTAGTATATTGCAAATGTTTTAACATTGTTGATAATACACAAGTGGAAGCTTTTTCAATTTGTCAGATCAATCATTTCATATGTATTAAAACAATAACATAATTTACTGGTGCTTAAAATCGGTAGAAGCTGATATAGATGCCTGTTTCTTTTAATTCATGATAATAGCTTGGCCTATCATACATTAAACAAAATCCAGTGCATAATCAAGTTTTCTTACTTTCTGCTGATTCCAAATATATTTATGTCCTTGTAATTATATTTTGGATTGTGCTTTGTGACTTGCATAATGAAGAACATTTCAGAAGTACAAATGAAAGGAAGGTAAACATGGATTATTATAACTGTTTATTTTCTGCATTTTCATAGAAATCAGATTAAAAATCAGATCTTCGTCAAGCAGTTCATTTTTGTTTTCATTTTTTTTCCTGAAAACAAAGCAATTCTAGCAATTGTTTTCATAGTATTTTAAAAACAATACTGCCAATTTACACACTCATACATATATACATATCTCTAGCTTTAAACTCTGAAGGGAGAATTGATGAAATATATAGGAAGGGTAATCTTTTCTCTGATAGCAGATAAAGTCTGCAAAAAACGCAAAGCTGATTAGGATAAAGAACAATATGGGCATAAGGCGTGAAAACACTTTTCTGATGAAATGCTGGCTAATGGGCAAGACTGTCTTTATAATATACAAACTCAAATATGAACATCTGTGTGCATATGTGTAGATCAAGTATTAGCTGCAAGTCTCTAAGGACCTAGTTCCCTATTTTTTCAGAGAGTTTGGGTGCCTTCTGCTTTTAGTTTCAGAGCAGGAAGTCCAACTTATTACTATGGTTTAATTATATGGCCAATTGTTTTGGGGATGTGCAGAGGCAAAATGGGCAGAAAAAGTGCCCAGAAAAATTATATATTTTCTTTGTGGTATGTCCTCTTCAGTGCAGGCAGGGCTAGAATTGGGGAAGCTAAGTTTGGGCTCAGCAGACTCCAACTATGCTGACTATTTGATGGAGCTTAGGCAGTTCACTCCATATAAAAAAGATTTAACAATATTCATTTACCACCCTCCTCAATGTTTTTCAGGCTCTCTGTTTTTCTGGTGATCAAGTTGTTGACATGATGGGAAACTACTGTATGGTAGAGAAGGCACATTGTAAAACATGTCAACAAAAGCAGATACGTTTTCCAATATCTTCCTGGCTGGTTGTGAAACCATAGTCTGCAATTTTGCAGCTGGATCCTTTTTCCAAATGCACAAATTCTCATCTGAATACAGTTAAACTTGTTTCTGAGCTGTTTCTGTAGAAAACTATACAGTTAAGATTGTGCTTGATTCATTTTATCCTCACAGAAGACTGAGAATAATGCAGATTACAGTCATATTCACATTGAACATTCTAGCCTTTACACTGTATCACATATACAGAAACCACACGTTAAAGATCTTTGTGACATAGGCTTGGTATGTGTCTATGCAAGTGAGCAGCAAAGGGGAAATGCTGAGGCATCATTTTAACTCAACATTTACAATTTATTATCTTTTCTTCAAATATTTTTCAAGTCCATATAAAGTTTACAATTTCCTTTGAACTGAGCTTCCAAATACACATATTTATATGTCTATAGGAAGGATTGATTTGCAACAATATCTCAGAAGTTTTAATTTGTTACCACATGTTCCAACACTTGTATTTCTTTTGTTGGGACATCATTTTTTTTTCAGTACTCAGCTATGTTAAGTTGCTAGGTAGGTCTGTCAATTATTATTTTATCTGCTGAAACCAAAAGTAATTGGTCTGAGGAAAAATTATCAGCCACTATAAGGACCTAAAATTAATCCTGGGAAGTTGTACTAGCATGTCTCGTAATGAATTTTAATATAATAAAAGTCTATCAGCTCTAAATTCAGATTAAAATGTCAATGGAAAGAAATGAGAATAACAGTGCCTTCAGTTTCTTTCATTGTCTTTGTGGGTACCTAGGTTTGGACTGGACATAAGACTGATAGAATAATAACAATAATAAATTAAATTTATATGCCACCTGACTCCCAGTGACTGAATATGTATGTATGGAGTGACATTTCTCATGTTTCTAAAAAATTCATGGATACCTGATACTTATACAGCCAAAAGATAATCTGTGTCAAGCTTCTTAGCTCTTTTGAATAAAATAAAACAAAAAGATGACTACATTACGCATTCATTGTAATATATAGTTTGACCTCTTAGCTGGATAAGCAATAGTTGTAAAACAGTGGGTTCATTTGGTATTCTGAGGGTATGATGAACACTCTTATTAAATGAAAGTAGTGGAGATTATACCTGTTCACACAATGGTGGCTCTAGCCGGTATGCTAATTCCAAACTATTTATTAGAATAGTTGCTGCTGCCTCTTTAGCCTTACAGAATGTTCTGTTTAAAAAAATGTACAAAATGGGAAATACATTTTGTTTCAAGTTTGGAACAAGGCAGACTCACTTGAAACTTTCCATCAGAAGGATTGAGTTGGCTGGGTTCTAATAAAACAAACCTCAAAATAGCTTCAGTATTTTGTTTTTAAATTTTTAGATTTTTTTTAGTCCCATCTTATTTTTATAAATAACTCAAGGTGGTGAATATACTTAATACTCCTTCCTTGTCCTATTTTCCCCACAACAACAGTCAGCTGGGCTGAGAGAGACACTGGCCCAAAGTCAGCAAGATGGCTTTCGTGCCTAAGGTAGGACTAGAACTCACAATCTCCTGCTTTCTAACCTGGTGCCTTAACCACTATACCAAACAAAAATTTCCAGATGTACACATTTTGTTTTGAGCTGTAATACTCAAAATAGTAATTATGATAAAAAATATGCATTTGAAACTTGTACTACTTAACTATCTATCTGAACTCTGTTCTCTCTATTTCCCCCCACTCCACATATACAGTAGTAGCATTCTTAACAGCTTTCTATTAAAATGCAAAAAAAAAAAAAATTCATGGGTTTTTCAAAGAAAATATTTGATAAACCTTAGCATGCTACTATTTACAGAAGGTTAATCTACCAATATAGAAACTTAGGAAGGACAGAAATGCTTCACAGGAATTAAGTTCTTTTATGCCTTAGTTGATTTCATATATTCATGCTGTTCTTATTTGGGATAAGCAAGTACAGGGAAAGAGTGAAAAAAACAGTAAGGTAAAGAAATTGAAAGGAAGAAAAAGAAATACTACTCATTATACTCTTCCAGATCTTTCTGTCCTTGCAAACCATCATAACTTCCAACATATCAATATACCAATTTATTCATTACCTTTTGTTCTTTAAATATTTGCTGCTGCTGCTTTTTTTTAAAGGATCGTCAATAATATCCAACTATGACTTCCTTGGTCTGTCAATTATTCATTTGAACCTTCATTTGAACCTGTACACTCTTCCTAATTTTTTTATTTTATGTGAACTGATCTTCATTCAGTCTCTCTGCATGACTGAGTCCTACCTCAATGTATTTCTTTTGTGCTTCTTTTGTACTGGTAATTCACTTTGCTATCAAATCATCTTTCATTCAGTATGTATTAATTCTTGACTGTATTTTTGTTCTACTGCACACATTTCTTAAGTACCTATTCCTATTTAATTAAACTTACTTTAAAATTTGTCCTGACATACTGAACTCTCATTTACGTATAAACAAAGAAACAACAGAGTGAGCAGAAGCAGTCTCTGTACACAGCCACTTTGATTCTTTCATAATGCATTCATAACTTGCAACATAATACCCATTACTATATCATAATATGACAGTATTTGCATATATTTAAACTTCATCCAATTCCCCAACTTTCATAAACATTCTACCGAGGTATACAAATTCATCTACTTGTTCTATATTTTTACCTTGCAATCATTCATTCCATTTTCTCTGTCAAACACAATTAATTTTGGTTGTTGACACATTAATTTTCAGATTCAAAAAATGTAATTCAGGTCATACAATCTATCTAACATTTGTTGCAAATCATATAGATTCTCAGCCAACATCATAACAGCATCTACATACAAATTACAGATGGTGAATGTTCACATCTCAAATAATAAATCTTTATTAACACCACAAGCATTCCTCATACTTTTATACATGAATACGTTAAACATTAAATCATTGTTTTATTCTTTGTTCAGTGTGGAGCCATTCAGGATTGAATTTATTGTCACGTATGGTTTACTTCATCATATACCACTGTTATCACATTCAGCGACTGACTTTCAGCAAAACCTTCGATAATTCATATTTACTTTATGGAACACATACTCTAAATCAACAAATGCACAATAAACTCTCTTTCTCATGATCCTTCACATTCATTCACTTTTTAATTTCATAATGTTTAACAGCTGTTTTTGTATGGTTAATGTAAAATGTCCTTGTGGTTAGCATGCCATTCAAGTGACTTGATTATAATTTATAATCAATTACAATTGATTATTATTCTGAAACTTTTCTTTAACATAGATGTGGTTAAGAGATGAAATTCCAAATCTCCAGTGATGGTATACTCTGATGAAGGATCTGGCATAGTCAGACCTTTGAAATAGGTCCATGAGACACATCAGAGCAGGCCTTCTCCTGCTTTATTCCCAGGCTATGAAATGTACAGTCAGGTCCAGAAATATTGGTACATCGACACAATTCTAACATCTTTGGCTCTATACAC